CTGCCATAAAGGACACAGTATTTTTAGAAGTAAATATTATATGTCATAATTCTGATGTAGAAGTTTCAGGTTCCAGTTCTGACTTACACAAACGCAGATCTAGTCAACTCAGTGGTGATGCTTCTATCATTTCAAGTAGGTAATTTGGCACCTAATCTCGCTTCTTGAACACTCAGTATGAGTGTGACTTAATTTCTTCCTGAGGTTGTTCTCAGCACTTGAACCTCCAGATCCCTATCTCTGTAAAAGATTTTTGAGAAGGGAAAAAAAAAAGGCGTGTTAGTTGTTGCTTTACTCCCTAGTACAACTTTCCACTTTTTTTTCAGTCTTTGACCTGGCATCTAAAAGTAAAATTGATCTAGATTCATAACCACTGCTAGCAGTCAGGGTCATAAAATTGGCACGTACCTGGTGATTCCATGTACGCGAGAAGCAGAACAGGCTACAGCTTGCTCTTTCAAAACTACTGTCTCCTAGCTTCTGATAACTAGTGAAACGATGCTTTGCCACTGGGATACTTGGGTGTTGAGCCCATAGTATCTATGCCTTCTTAATCCGGAGCATTTTTATATTGGTGTTCACTAAAACGATTATTTCAAAGAATGTTCAAACCAGGTATCGAGAAATTTTAATTACTTTGAAATTTCTACTCTTAAAGGTAAGATTTCCTTTTGGTTCAGATAATTTGTTAACGCAACCTTGCGTTCTTGATATTTGATCTCTGCTCACATAGCTCGTATGTGCCAGAATTTCCAGACTTAACGGCAGGGACATCATTATGCAACTTATCAAATGCACTGTATAGGCATGAAGTAGTGACTCCTGTGTATAAAGTGACATATGAATGCCATCACTTGCTGAAATTCAGTAGAATTTTGAGGGATAACTAACCGAACCTGCGGTTTCTCACTCTCTGGTGAAGCACTGCAGTGACACAGAGGCAATTAATTTATCTAAAGAGTGGTAAATCTTGTGAGCATGTGTTTTATTCCAAGTTTTACAGTGCACAACTAATTTTCCCAAGGAGCAGGCGTACTGTGGTGTGTGTAGTGCTGTCAGCAATGTACTTTTGTTGTCAGCCTGTCTGTCCTGTCGGCTCAGTACACCCAATATCCTTAGGGCTGGTGTTTACGCGAAGAATCGACTCTACTTTCCAGTTTTTTGTCATCTTTCTGAATGGACCTTTGTAACATGGGCAGTATGTGTGTCTTTTTTTTTCCCAGTGATTGATAAAGCCTCTATTTTATGATCGATGATTTTCCTGTCTGCCAAGTCACACATACTGCTTGGGACACTCTGCACTTGCACATGCCAGGTTTTAAATCCAGCCATTCATGTTTTCCAAGTACAAAGCTATTTCCATTTGAAAAACCAAAGTTCTGCTTAATCTCGCCGTTGAATGTAGTGTTGCTCCTCTGGTTTAAAAAGTAAAACAGATTAAATTCTGCAACTTTATTTTAGCCCCTGCAAAAAAAAACCCTAAAACCTTCTGAAAAGAAAATGCTGCTGGAGCTGAAACTTGGTATCTGTCAGTGACATTAACAGGGTAGTGGGAGATAAAGGGAGAAGTAAATAATGTTGAACTAAGTCTTTCTCCTTTTTGGTCGCTGCCTTGCCAGATTTCACTTTGTGCTCCAGACGCACATTGGAGTACTCTGCAGGATCTGGAATGTAACACAGACTGAAATGTTGGCAGGGTGCACATCTGTTTGGCTTGGCTCTAAATGCCAGTTCCAGTTTCTGTAAGGAACTGGCAAAACTTCTTGGTTCTCTCTTTTTCTGCTCTTTTCCCTGCACTCTGTGATGGTTTGCTGGCAAACAGGCAGGAAATACTAACTGAATTCGCAAAAGCTGCTTCAGCTTTAATGTTAAATTAAATTAAGGTGATGCTAATGGCTTTAACCTCTTGGTGCCACAGAGCTAGATTTCTTCACCCTAATCTACTTTGCTAAAATCAACAATGAATTTGATATAAAAATCTCATTTCCAAGTGCTAAAGGCTTATTTTGCATTTAAAATTGCACCAGAAACATTATTTTGACTGACAAGGATAAATTATTTCAGCTGGCTGGGTTTTGTGGGTGACTCTAAGGGTGGGTGACTCTAAGGCTTACTTCTTTAAACCGTACTTGTCTGAGAAGTTTCACTCGAGGAAGCGAGGGCAAGAGGTGAATGTGGCCCTGTATATTTGGCAAGGGCCTAGGCTATACTTCACTTAAATCCTTCACACTGTGGTAGTTGACAGCGTGCTGTCATAAATGTGGCAAGATTGTGCTCTCAGAGCTGTAAGGTGCTTTGTATAAAACGCAGTCTGTAACCTCGGTTATTCTGCAGTCTTTCTGCAGTGTTCAAAGATTTGATGCTGGCCTCCCCTGAGAAATTAAAAGTAGCAAATCTTAGGGCAGCTTCCTGCTATATTTGTGTTGGGGAAACTTGTAGGGTAATGCTCTCCGAGCACTCCCTTGGAATTTGTAATGAAGGGATTAATAAAAGCAAACCTGTTGGAAATGGGCCATAAAAAAACTTGTGAACAGTTTATTATGTGAAGTGTTGTAGTCGTGGGAAATGCCTGAACTTGAACAAGCTGTTTTGTTGCAAAAGCACAAAGGCAAATGGCCTGGGGGGATTTTTTTTTTTTATGTTGCGCTTAGTAACTAGCATTGAAATATTTGGTCCCAAGCCATGTGATGCCAGTAGACTTCCAGATCTCTACTTAGAACTTGAATGATAATGAATAATTAAGTGTAATACATCATTATTTGTTTTGCTAAACTTCACTATTCATGTGGGAAAAATGGCGTTTTGAACAGAAGTGGGATTATAGGTTTTTATTTGGCATTTGGTGAAAATGGGATTAGATTTCTGGCATTAACGATGTACATAAATTTGAGCTTCGCAGCTGCACAGGGTGAATGCTACTAACTTCTGCGGCAACTGCCTCTTTCTAGGGCTTTTTAGAGCAGGTGTGTGGCTAATGAACAGGTAGTCCCTGCAGCATGTCTGGGGGTGCCTGTGGGAGACCGGCAGGGCTACAGGAAACCTGCAGGACTTGCCCTTCTGAGGGACAAAGGATGAAGTTTTGTCCAACAGATTTCTGTAGCAATTGAATTTCGGGATACCTTACCTATGTCCAAAAAAACATTGCCTGCTTATAATCGTTCATAATTTGTAAAGTCCAGATTCTGAGCACCCCAAACCCAAACATAACGTTTTGTTGCTGAAACGTTTTGTAAACTATTGAACAGCACTGTGTTTTTTCTGGTTGTTTTTTTTTTTTAAATAAACTGACTGAAAAATTTCTTTCCTCTTGCAGTATTTATATCATGGGATTGGTGCTGGAATGGATAAAGAATAATGGCGGAGCTGCAGCTATGGATAAACTTAGTTTAATCAAATCACGAACGATTTACGACATTATAGACAAATCTAATGGATTCTATGTGTAAGTTGCTATGCTTTTGCCCTTGGTTTTGGTACTTGTTGTAGAGCCAAACATATTCATAACTTCTGAGAGTCTGATTGCAGCAAATCTTTAAAGTTAGCTTTTCAGTATATAGAAACTTTGAGGAATCCTATGGGAATTATTTCTGCAAGCTGGTCACTTGACAACTATCCCAGGATAAGTCTCATTCCAGTAGAAAGTTGTTTCAAGTTATCTGTTGTGAAGCATATAAATATGTGTTCTAAACTTGATAAACTGCTGGGAGCCTTGGAGAAGACTGTAGAGAAAAAGATACACAGATTCGGCTTTGTGTTCTTACTGAATCTCTTGGGGAAGTAACAGGCTGGAACAAAGCAGCTTGTAAGAAGCTGTAGAGACCACTTTTGCATAATATTCTTCCTAGCACCTCTTTTAGTAGTCAAAGACTTCTTTTCCTCTGTCAAGGACAGTGTTTTTATTGGCTAATTGTGAGAAGTTCTGGAACATTTTCTTGAATAAAGAGGAAGATCAGACCTAGATGTAGTCAAAAATGTAATACATTTTCTTATTTTCTTTATGTGAAGTTTATTCAGTTGGGTTTTTTTTTAATTGTTTTCCAAAGGAGATCTAACCCTCTGATTTTAACATACTGTTGCAAGGTATTTCTGTGCTTACAGGACCCAAAATATGTATAGTTAAAAGCGAATCATAGAATGGTTTGGGTTGGAAGGGACCTTAAAGATCATCTAGTTCCAACCCCCCTGCCATGGGCAGGGCCACCTTCCACTAGACCAGGTTGCTCAAAGCCTCATCCAGCCTGGCCTTGAAGACATCCAGGGATGGGGCATCCACAGCTTCTCTGGGCAACCTGTTCCAGTGCCTCACCACCCTCTCTGTGAAGAACTTCTTCCTGATATCTAATCTAAACCTCCCCACTTTCAATTTAAACCCATTACCCCTTGTCCTGTCACTACAGGCCCTTGTAAAAAGTCCCCCCCAGCTTCCTTGTAGCCCCTTCAGGTACTGGAAGGTTGCAATAAGGTCTCCCCGGAGCCTTCTCTTCTCCAGGCTGGACAAGCCCGATTCTTGCAGCTTCTCCCCATAGCAGAGGTGCTCCAGCCCCCTGAGCATCTTCGTGGCCTCCTCTGGACTCACTCCAACTGGTCTATATCCTTCTGATGGTGATTGAGGTAACTCAGAACAATTCTGATCCTTGTCGAGCTCAAACTAGTAATTGACTATGAAACTGCAAAATATTTTCTTTCACTGTCAGTATAAAATCAACAGTTTTTAGACCTAGTTAACTTTCCAGTCAGAGTTAGGATAGGGCAAATTAAATCTGGATTTTAAATTAAAGCTGGCTGCAACCTTAATTGGCAGGGATGTAGTTTCATAATGTCTAATACATTCTGCTTATCCATGTAGTTAATGAGAACAGCTTTGCCTTTAGCATTATCATGATCAGGATTGTGATCCTACTCTACTGAAATCCTGAGGGCTTTTTCATTAAAAGTAAGTAAGCAAATGAGGTCTTGGGAGGGAGAAAAAAAACCCAAACAAAACATTTTGTGACAAATAGAAATCTGTTTCTGGCAAACAGGTCTGAGTGGGAAATGCAGTGCAGATGGCGTGGTGAATAGTCAGTTGGGAAGGGAAAGCAAGCCTCACTAACTGAGCTGCATGCATCTTTCTAAGCAATACAGTTAAGAGACTGGATTTTTTTGTTTTTTGGTAGTATCTATGACTAAACGGAAGAATTATATGAAGCTGCCTTCCCAGCTTAAATGTGCCACCTAATCTCTGGTGTGCTTCGCTGGGTAAGCCATGTGACAAGCCATTAGGCAAATGGAGACTTTCTTCCACGAAGTGCTGTGTGCTGTTTGCAGTTTGCTTTCCAGTCTGTGCACTCATGGAGTTACATCAGGTGGCCTGAGAGTAACTGCATCTTCTAAAAACTGTACTGTAGCTACTTATTCAAATATGTGAATGCTTATAAGTGTGGGCCTTTCTGAAGAGTGTTTTCCTGGTTGCATTTGAAGCAGAAAATCTGCATGGGCAGATTTATGATTGATCTATTTTCCTCTTCATAATTATTAAATTTAATGATATATACACCTAATTATTTAATATTTAGTGACAGCCATTCTTTTTCAAATAGAGTAGTAAGAGGTACGAAATCTGTGTGCTCTTTATGAGAACTTGTTCCTACTGCATCCCTGCACGAATGTACGTCACAGCCTTAGGAAAGAATAGATCTGGAAGCTTTATATCTCCTTTGTAACTAAAAGCACTCAAGAAAAGTACTTAATCCTTTTTTTTTTTCTCCCCCTGTTCTTACCGTCACAAAATAATTGAAGAGAAATTTTCTTTTAAATATGTCTTAAAATGCCTTTAAAGTAGAAAATTCAAGAGGTTAGAGCTGCGATGCACGCCTCCTGCTGTGGCAATGTATGTAGTGCCAGATTCATCCTAGAGATATTTTTTTTTCTGCTGGAGATGTTCATGCTTCTGGATGATACTAATGTAGACTTAAACCACTAACAGAAGTCTCCAGTGACCATTGGAAATCTCCTTGTACTTCCTTTTAGCCGAGTCAAGCTCAGATCTGGTAGCACTCCTGATGAGCTGAGTGAAAATAAGTGTGTCGGTCTTTGAAGTTAGAGAAGAAACTACTTGAGGCTTAGTCAAAGTTCACAATAACCAACCTCATGCTGTGGAGTGTAACTGAGACCCTAGTGGGTGGGATGGTGGCTTTTGCGTTGTGTGGGTTTGGTTTTTTTAAATTATGTCTGTTTACAAGCCTCGTGTGCGTTCCTTTGGGGCAATTTGAGTATGTCAGGAAGGCTTAATAAGCCTTCCACTTAATGTTTGTTTGGTTAAAAAAGGAAGGTTGCTTTCTTTCACAGAAAGTAATGATCTCTTTGACTGTGGAGAAATGGCTTTGGCACTGAAGAGATGCAATGATTCATTTTCTGAAATTGTATATAGCCGAGAATGTAAATTTCGCACAAAATGGGTAAACCATTACATTCTGCAACTCTTCTAGATGTCCAGTGGAGAAGAAGAACCGAAGCAGAATGAATGTCCCTTTCCGTATTGGCAGTATTAAGGGCGATGAAGCGCTGGAAAAGAAGTTTCTGGAGAAAGCGGTGGAACTTAACATGATATCTCTGAAGGGGCATCGGTAGGTACTTGTCAGATGAATCCCTGTCCTGCTACTACAGCAGCACAGGAGCCAGCCTCGGATTGCTTTGGCATCAGTTGGGAAGAGCAGTCTAGAGATGGTAATCAGAGACTGCTGGTGGCTTAACTACTGCTTAGGTGTGGTAGGGCTCAGAGTTTTCTCCTTAATTCAGATTTCCTAATTTTGATAAATCTGGCCCTGTGAAAATGCCAAGGAACGTGACTCTTGAGGTCAGATTCTGTCATTGTATAAAGCCTTTCATTACATGGCTGGTGTCTCTGGTTTCAAGAGTTCTTTTCCATGTTCAGTGATGTTTGTGGGATTAAAAAAGATAACTTTTCTATGTCACAGGGCTACAGTGTTAGAGCCGTGAGTAACTGACAAATACTGTTTCTCATGACCACAAGCTTGCCTCAAAGAAATATTGCTTCTCATTCATACAAAATGCTAATTTTATCCCTTTGGAGTAGGATTAGGTTTAAATGTCTGAATGTTACTTTGTCTTTTTTTTTTTAATTTACAAAACCTTTCTACTTTTTTCTTTCCACGCCCCCCACCCCTCCCCACTGCCCCTTTTCAATTCAGATCTGTGGGAGGAATCCGTGCCTCTTTATATAATGCGGTGACCGTGGAAGATGTTCAGAAGCTTGCAACGTTCATGAGAAGCTTCATGCAGATGAACCGGTCATAAATGCCTGTGGGCTATGGCCATACTGCACATCTGTGATATAAAAGCTAAAGGGTTTGAAAGTTACTGTGGTACTGCACAGCTGTAGCGCACGAGTTATATTTTCTTTTAGTTCTTGTAGCTGTTTTAGTTAACTGCATGGGATTGAGGCTCAGTCTTGCAATGACTTGTCAGCCTTGGCTTCACTGTCCGGTGAGGATCCCCAGACTGATCAAGATAGGTTCAAAAATTTACAGAACAGTATTATCAATGTGTAGTTAAATAGTGAGTAGCATTGTAAGATGCTATGGATCTGTTTGTTGCTGCCTAGTCACATGTGACTTCATAGAATCACAGGATGGTTTGGGTTGGAAGGGACCTAAAAGATCACCTAGTTTCAACCCGCAGGGACACTTCCTACAGACCAGGTTGCTCAAAGCCTCATCCAGCCTGGCCTTGAACACTTCCAGGGATGGGGCATCCACAGCTTCTCTGGGCAACCTGTTCCAGTGCTTCACCACCCTCTCCATGAAGAACTTCTTCCTGATATCCAATCTAAGCTTTCCCACTTTCAGTTTAAACCCATTACCCCTTGTCCTGTCACTACAGGCCCTTCTTCAGCAATGCCTTCTTTTCAGTAAATGTCAGGGACACAACATCATGAGCATTCTGTAATGCTTTATAAATACACTGACTGCTCAGTGAAGCTAGAACTAATAATGTGTCCTCTTAGTTGGTTTATCAGTTATATTCCAACAGTATACCATCCCAGCATTATTTAGGAATTCCTATTTAGGAGTTCCTAACTTGAGGACCTTGCCCTCAGACTTCTGCTCCCATACTTGAAGTACTATCACAACAGTTCCATGCAGCAATACCTGTTGTGGCTAAAGTCTCTGTAGGACTGGGCCTCTTCTCATGTTAGTGTTGTATGTTTAAAGCTAAGATGCACAAACCTGTGATTAAATCAATTTATAAAATGTTTATTTCTCTATGTATTTTGTTAAACTTCCCTAGGTTATTAATTTTATATTTTTATTTTAGAGTGTGCATATATTCTTCTGCCAAAAACTTGTTTTTAATCTGTTAACCTTGTGCCAAACTGGATTGCTGTATTCCCCTCTTTGCATCTATGACTTGCTCTGTACTGAGTTCCTAGCCCAAAGGGCAGCAGACTTTCATGTCTGGTGCTTCTTTAATGCCTTCCCCCTCTAACTGCTCCAGTGTTTTGTCTGCTTTTTCATTGCGTGAGCTCTGTAGCCTTTACTACACGTGGTTCGCCCAGCTGCAGTAAATGCAAATCTTGACTCGCCTGCCTTTTTCTGACACTACATCACACTTTTGGTCCAACTTTCTTACTCCCATCTGACTTTTTCTAGACTTAGTTCTTTCTCTAGTCCAAAGGAACAGTGATTAAGCAAGCACCTTCAGAAGATCTTCTGTTACAGTACCTTTGAGTTACTTTTCCTTCTCAGCTTGTGAATTTCCTGCCAATGACCATATAGTGACACTACCCTCCTCTTTTAACTTATGTAGAAGCTATCTGCTAGTATTGTAGTGTTTAGCATTATTGCAACTGGCTTTAGACTGTAAACTCTTTGGCACAGGATGGGGATTCTTTTTTTTATTTGTATGTAACACTAGTATGATGGTGTTGTGGTTTAACCTTACCTAGCAATTAAGTACCACATTGTTGCGCTCTCTCCTCTCTCCCTCCCCCAGTGCAAGGAGAGTCAGAGGAAAAGACAAGGAAGCTCGTAAAATTGAGATAAGGAGTATTTACTAAGTGAATATAAATGATAATTATAGTGATACCACTAATACTAACAATTCTACTACTAATACATAAGTAAAATAATAGAAAATACAACATATGATACAGTAGCTCACCACCCACTGACTGACACACAGCCAGGTCCTGAGCAGTGAGAGTCTGAGCCTGAGACCCTGCCCAGTCAGAGCCCCAGAACAACATGACTGGGACAAAAAAAGCTGCACCTCACCACTAACAACCATCCCTAGAGCTAATGACCTGGCTATCAAGCTAGCCAAAGTCTTAATTAAGTCTCGGCCAGCCTGAGCCAGCCCACAGCACTGTGAAATAAAGGAGCTCATACCTGCCTGAAACCAGGATTTTCTCCACCCCTTGTTTCATGCCATTTTTGTCATGCTCAGTTCCATGCTATTCCATAAATTGTCATTAACCGGCTTCCCCCTATCCCATCTCGCACAGATATTCCCTTAGTCTATGGACCATCTTGGCAAAATGACCATGGACTTCACGTTCCATCCGTTGTGGTCACTCCGGACCAGAAATGTGGAGTCTTGCGTGGGAGGTGAAGCAGCCAAGGTTGCAGTTGTGTGGGCTCAGGTTGCTGCCCTCCCTTTTTGCATTAGGGCACTTCGGGTGGCTGCACAGAGCGTACCTCTGCCCCGAGCACCGGTAGTGGATGGGGCAGCATCCCCAAACACTTCTTTAACTTCAGACAAGGTCGTGAGAACATTCAGAAATATGCTGATCCTTAACCATGAAAAATTTCCAAAATACTTGTACGCCTTTGCCAGTGGCTAGAGAGAAGGGAGAAATAATTGGAATACTTTCTCTGTGTCCAAGCTGGGGCTGAATAATCTCTCCTCTATAGGCAGAGTTCCTGAGGAGAAAAAAGGAGAGGTGTAATTATTGAAAGCCTCCAGGAGATAACTCACAATGTACCAGGGGGCTGACAATATAAAATACAGATACAGGATTCCTCCCAACACCAGCAATACACCGACCAGCCTAACAAAGCCCTTCAACCTTTCAGGCATGTAAGATCAGGATAATAAGGAACACGTAAGGCAGCAGATCCCACCGTTCTGTTAGCAACTTAAAGAGTCCCAAACTCAATGTCTTGAGTGCAGGAGGAGAGTCAGAGGGGAAGACAAGGAATCTCGTAAAGTTGATATAAGAACTGTTTTCTAATTGAATATAAATTAAAATTCTAGTGATAATACTAACAACACTACTAAGTAATTAGAAGAATAGAAAATACACTGTATGATACAATTGATCACGAACCCACCCTACCCCTAACAACCATGCCACGAGCTGAAAAAGGAGCTAATGACACCCCCCCAGGCCGTTTCCCGCCTCAGAACTGCACACGTGCCCTGAGCCTGACATGCCTTGGAATGAAACACTCCCTCGGCCAGCCTGGGCCAGCCCACAGCCCTGTGAAGAAGAGGGGCTCATTCCCGCCTGAAACCAGCACAAATGATAACAATTGAATAGCAGTAACGATGGACTGTCTCCTTCTTGGTCGCGGAGCAGGTCGGTGGGTTTCTGCTACGGTTGAATTACATTCCTATCCGTAATGTCGTGACTACTGCCTTGAGATTTTTGTCAACGTGGTGTAACTCAAAGTAATTAAACAAATCTGGTGACGAAAATAAAATTTAATCACAGTATGCTGTGACGTAGCAGTGTGTCTGAAACTTTTGTTTTTGTACTCTCAGAAGGATGACGAGTCATGCATAACGTGTGTTAGAATGTTAGATTCCAATAGCATACTTTTTAGGGAAAAAGCAGGCTTCCCTCATTTACGTCCCATCTCTTTGTGAAAACGGCCTTTTCTACATGCAAACAAGGTATTGCGAGGAGAAGGCTTCGAGAACCCTTTTTGCTCTCCCAGTCGTGAAGATCTAATTCAGGTTCTATATTAATCTTTTTAACTTTCTAAAATTCTACTTCCTCCGAATTTTGTGTACTTGTTGTCTACAGTAGCTGTGGCTTATCCCCCTTTCAGAAGGCAGTAAACCTGTCTATTTTCTCATAGCCTTGCATCCCCACTTTCATGTATGATTAGAAAAAAGCTTGCACTGCTGTTTGCAGCTCATTCACGCGCCCAACAGGTAACCTTGTTACCTGTCTTGTCAGCTAAAGACCTTTTCTTTTTTTTCCCCCCACCCAAAAAGGCAAAAATCGTGTAAAAGCTGAATGCAGAGCGAGGCCCGTGTTAGCAGGCAGTGATTGGCTGAATATCATGTGAGGGGGATGCAGGAATGTGGGGAAGATTGGAGCATTTGCTGAATTAATTAGTTACTTGAGGTTTGTTTCAGTCTCATCCCTGCAACGGGATCCAAGCTGGATCCCTGGAAGATGTAATCAGGTTATTGAGCCATAGCAGACAGAGAAATCCCGCTTCCCCTCATTAGATCAACAGGAGTAATTTCAGCGTGGGATTCCTGAGTCCTGTCAGTCTCCCTTGCATCAGCATCTTAAGATGTGTCAACTATTGCGGTGTTGGAAAGCAGGGCTTTTCCTGGTGTGATACGAACGCTCCTGAAGCCTTTGAAGGGTTTACAAACAGGAGTAGTGGTCTGACCAGAGTTTGTGCGTGTAGAAATGGAATTGCAAGATGAACGCTTTTCGATGAACATTGCTTTCAATTTCTCTTTCAGTGAGTTGCCTCTATTACACCTCCTAACTTAGAATCACAGAATGGTT